AACAATGACTCGGAAAGGAGCCCATGATTTAAACACTCTAGTGGGTCTAAACTATAAAATTTCCCCATTTGCTAAGGTGACACTTCTTTATTTAACTGTATTATAACTCCAAGTCTAATTAGCACTGGGGAAATAAGATTTCAACAGCAAAATATGGCAATCTGGTTAACATAGTAAAGAACTTTCTGTACATAATCAGCTTAGGCTCCTAGCAATACTAAATTATAACCCATAAATGTTTTGGCTCTTACTCTGTCTTATTTTTATAATATTTGTGTGTTCAAAACACATATAAATTCATGAAAATTTCTTATATGTAGATCTGCAGAAGACCTACATGTGGTTGATTCTAAAGAGAAATAAATATTCTGGTCTAAAAAGATAATCCACTAAAGCAGAAATCCATTAAAACACTAAAATTATTGCATCCAAATTTCTTACATTAATATATGATTAGGAAAATTTTATATCAGTATAAAATATCATGTGTGTATAATTTTAATAGTCTAAATGTAACTGATAAAATTCTACTGTAATTAAATCTTGAATATGCTGGATTCAAGGTAGTAGGTATGCAGTAATATCTTTCTTGTCTAAAGATATTTTCTACAGCATTTTTCACCATTTCTTATTTCCCAATATAAAATTGTTCCTCTTTTAAGAACTTCAGGTTTTCTTAATACTTACGTTTCACCACATCTGGTGGTCTTATTGTACTACATATTTTAATCTATTTTAAGGTGAATTTTTATCTCATATAGCTAGATATTTATTCCTTGGAATTCTAATGCATTGGTAGCACATATAGGAAAAAGCAAAGTATTCATTTCCCTGCAATATAATAACAATAATTCTATAGAACTTATATATAATACAAAATCAAATTTCCTTTCTAGTCCTTTGTTCAAAAGTGTACGTAACTATTGAGTATCGGAGTGCCTTGAGATTTGATGAGATGCTCACATATCATAGTTCCTAGAATTAATGAAGTTATAGCCACTCCAGAAAAATGTAATAGTTGTTATAAATACCATTAGACAGACCTGTTGCTTGCTCTATTGTGCTGTGGTGAAGAATCCCTAGTAAACTGATTTGCAATAAATGTGTTAGCACTTGTAAACTTTCCAACTTATATACATTTTTCCCCACTGCTACATTTAAAAAATATGCCAATAAATGTCCATGAATTCTAAAATTATCTTCCAAAATGATATTATTATGCAGGTGCAATTAGGAAATTAAATTCCATTGGTATCTATATTAATTAATTAATCTTAATATTTTCCAGAACAGCTAATATTAGACTTTTGAAGGCCAAACAACATTTTGTAATAATTATTATCACTAAATCAGCATCTTTAAAGAACAAGCATTAATTTCAAATTGGTGAATATCACCTACCAAACCACAACCGAATTAATATACTTTTCATTTACATTTTTCATTAGTTCTTGACATTAGACAGAAATCCTGGTTGCAAAGTTAAGATTAGTTAGTTCCCATGGCTTTAGAGTTGTCACTGACTGAGCTCACACAAAAGCTCATGCTAGCTGTTAAGTATAACTAATGGGCTTTTACACTATAATTTTAAAACATTTTTTCTGGGATTATGTTTTATTGAGAGTACAAACATCACATAACTTAGCATTTCTGATGACACACATTTTGACTTTAGAAAAGGTGAAATTATAAATGAATAGGTTTATACATTCTTATGTTATAAATTTAAATGACTTCTAACACTAAAATAAGATAAAATATTGTAAAACTCTAACATTCTTACCTATAAATTAAAATGTTGATGCATTTTCTGGGAAAAGCTACTAAATGCTGGGGTAATGACATAATCAATTTAGACTTTCAGTTTCATCCTACATTTATAAAGATTGTGGTTTTGTGTGATTTCATACTTTATATAATCATCATCATCATCATGTCTCTGACTACAATATTTGTATTAGAAAAAAATGATGATGCAAAGAAACAAAAAAGGATTAGAACTCTCTTGTTCGTGAAATCAAAGAACCAATGAAGCTGGGCATGGTGGCGCACGCCTGCAATTCCAGCACTCGGGAGGCTGAGGCAGAAGGATCGCTGGGAGTTCGAGACCAGCCTGGGCTACATAGTGAGTTCCAGGTCAGTCTCAACTACATAGTGAGACCTTGTCTTAAAAAAGCATAAAAAAAATAGTAATAATAAAATAAAAAAAGAATCAACGAAGCTTACTGCTCTGAGTCTCTATTGCTTATCAGATTGGATCCTATTTTTACCACAGTTAATGGAATCTTAAAATTAGATAACATTTAAATCCCAGAGTTTTGACAAATCTATTTTGAGTCCCCTGAAAAGAATCATAAATTCTGGCTTTTTACACAGCATTAAACAAATATTCAAAGTATTCAATACAGTTCAGTTGTGTAAATAGTCCCACCTATTGTAGGTTTTGATGAAAGTAATCTCTCAACTATGTAATCATTCACTTTTAAAGTTGGGCTGAGTCTGGACATAACTCTATTGTATGATGACAAACTTTTTCTTTGGACCTGACCGCACAGACCTGGCACTAGAGATAACTATCAGAGGAAAAATGATCCATTAAAAAACTGTTTTCTAAACTGCTAAGAAACCAGCAGAACTCCACATCTCTGATAATACATTTTCTAGAAATTTTGTGCTTGGATCGCTGGCCGTTATCTGAAGGCTAAGTCCTAGTCACAAAAAGAAATTTATGTAATTAATAGACCTGGTCATCATCCACAAAACTTGTCAGCAATAAAACTATCCAATCCATATTGCAACTCTTCAAAATTAAAATTCTAGAAAGGAGAAAAATGTAGAACTATAATCTCATTCCATTTGAAAATAAAATGCACAGCCATTTCTGAAATGTCACATTTCATCTTAGTGAATAAGAGTTTTACAGAACGAGGAACCAGCGATCAGTATGGGATACCCTTAAGTATGTATTTGCCAAGATGACACTCATTCTCACCAAGTTCCACCAATTCTTCCAATTTTTAGAAATTTTCAAAGAAACGTTAAATTTTTTTAAATGGCACTTGGCAATTCTCCTTCTTTAACAAGAATAAAATGAATTTAATTGCTTAGAGTGAATGTTTTAAATTCAGCCTGGTGGAATAATTATTCCATCAAATCACTGTCAGTCTTTTTTCCTAATCTTCTTGTTCTACTTTATACCCAAAGGAAGGTTATTTATTTATGGTTTGGTGAAAACCTTGGACAGCAGAATAGATAGGGAAACCCTATCTATTCTCAAACAAGTATAGAGCCATCGTTATTAAGAGAAAGCAAGGTAAAAATTTCATAAGAAAAAAATCCCAAATCAAACTAATAAACACCAATTAGTTATGTTTAAGGGATATTCATTAAGAGTAGCGAGTTCAAATTCATTGTACTTTCACAAGGACTACAAGTGGTGGCTATTAAAGAAAGCCCCAATAATTGAAATGATTAGAAAATATAATGGAAAAGAATTTCTAGTAAAAGAATAAAGTTGCTAATTTGGGCAAGATCATGAAAATTCACAGCAAGACCTATGGAAAAATTCTTTCTACTATATCTTATCTTTCATTAGAGTAAGTATACCCACAAACCACATCTGAAATAAGTAGAACATTAATGACATAAGAACCAACACACACACACACACACACACGCACACACGAACTTCAACCTCACATAACATATGTCTGAAGATGGATACTGTAATCTCTGCTTTGCCAAATTTCATTGTCATACTGTATTCAGTGACTTCACATCTCCTTAATACAACATCAAAGTAAAGTGAGGACCCTGGAAGGCTCTTTCAAGAAAACTTGTTCATTCTGCCTATCCCCCACCTCTTGGATTTGTAACTCGTGAAGAAACGTCATCCTCAGGGAGCACATAGTTGCCATGAGAACATGTCCCGCACCACTGCCTGGAGATTATGTACCTGCCATTAGATCATGTATATACCACAAACACAGAAATTAACCAACTTCAAAACTAACTGACTTAATATATTTAATTTCCTTTCATGCTTCAGCAACCATAACCATTCACCATAAAGTCACTGTTGCACTGCAGATACTTTACTGTCCTGCCTGTCTTCCTTCCTTTCCGTATCCCCCACCTTTTTCTTTCCCCCCTTCCTCCCTTCTTTCCTTCCCTTCCTGTCTGGGCACTACTCATCGAGTCAAGTTTCCTGGCTTATTCTGGTGAGTTGCGTGCAGAGCACTCTGCTAGCAAAGAATTTCTCAACAGCAGCTCTAAGTGGAAAAATCACTTCATAACACTCTGTGTTAAACTGTAAATGCCAACAAGGAAAGTAAATTGCTTCCCACTGCCTCTTCTCTGACCTGCTCCTCATCAACCAGGACGTTTGAACAAAATTTTCTTTCTTTCCCCATCACTGCATGCAAAAGGACAATCAGATTGGAGTGAAATAAAAGTGGTATTAAGTCATAATTAAGCATTAGCACAGAAGCGGGGACATTGTTTTAGATTGTCACAAAAGTACAATGTCAGATAAAAGTTACAGAAATATTTTCAGTCAATCTTGGCCACAGCATTCTTTTCAGAGGATTTTTTTCCTTTTGGGGCTTTCCCAATTTGTACTCAGCACTAAAGCTTGGGTTGTTTTAAGCAGTCCTTTTCTGTATATATACACTGTATGATTCAAAACAGAATATAAAATTTTCAACCCATCTTAAATGATGTGCTAAACTGTTGCATTTTATTGTGGTCTGTGATGTGCTTAAAATGTGTAAAGGGCAAAAGGAGAAAACAGAATCTCAGTATCAAAGTAAGAGCTCTACTGGAGTCCAAATTGATAAGTGGCACACAGGCAAGGACTGATATTTTGAATGTGTTCTTACACAATAACTAGTCCATTCTTTGCATATATTTAGTTTAAAAAAAAGATGCACACAGTCTCACATTCATAAATACACTTAACCACACATACACATACAAACATACATACATAAAAAACTTACACAATTTCATCATTCTGGAATTCGAGCTCTCCACAGGTGTCTTCAAAGTCCTCCCCTCCACCTCTGGCAGTCCCTTCGATGGTTTTATAGGGAACGATAACATTTCCTCGAGCTCCAGATGTTCTCAATACTTTCACCTCCATGATGCCAATGCTCTCACTCACATGGGTCACGGGTTCCTCAAAAGTAAAGATGCCCGCATGGTCATCATCGAAAATAGTAACAGTGGCAGTGCAGGGTGATCCGAGGCAAGCGAGGGTAGAGATGTGGTTGGCTTCCAGTATGCCATCTTCTGAAGCCTCAGAAGATACTTTGACATTGCTCAGGTGCACAAGGAAATTTTCATCCTCCTCGAAGATATCGTCGTCAATGATGCCCACTCTGATTTCCTTTTGTGTCTCACCAGGTTTAAAGACCACAGTTCCTTCAGTAAATTCATAATCAGACCCAGCATTGGCTGTGCCATCCTCTGTTCTGAAGTCAACAAACACAGTGTTGGTCAGATCGCCACCTCTGCGGATAATGGTCAGGGCCACTGTACCACAGTTCTCCAGACACTGGTATGTTCCTTGCTCAAAGAAAATCTTACTAACGGGGTCATTTTCAGCCACTTCCGTGTTGACCTCATGCATACTGACAGCCTTCCTCGCTTGGTCAGCTGCGTGCCTCTTCAAAATATTGCCAGCTCCAGTCATCAGGCGAGTAGCTTGAATTCGATAAAATGCTCGACTCTTTTGCTGCTGACTTAAGACTTGGTAGTTAGCTAATTCTATTAATTGCTCTATTTCCTTCTCTGGGTGCTTCTGCTTAAGTTCCTTCAAAATCCTTGCCATTTCTCTCCTAGTTTCTTCATCATCTTGGTCCCTTTCATCGACCTCCAGAACCAGAGCGCCATCTAAGAAATTGTCAACATGAGAGTTGATTACTTTCCCATCCATTTCGATTTCAGTTTTGGAAGATGGCCTGTCACCTTCGTGTTCTATAATCATTCCCCTCTGCTTGCCAGCCCGATAACGCTTGTAGACATACTTGTAAAACAGAAGCCTCCTGTCTGCTACCCATGCGAACACAACACAGATAGGGAAGAAAAAGAAAGTAAGCAAACCTTCCCAGACCTCCACAACTCCAGGAGAAATGACAGACAAAATGATATAAAGCCAGGTATAGGCAAAGATGCTCCAGGCTGCTGTTACAAAGAACACACGCAAATGCTTGATCTTCCTTGTCTCTCCATCAGGGACCACATAAACACAAAGGGCGATGATGATGAACATGTTGAAGGCAGCACTTCCCACAATGGTGCTTGGGCCAAGGTCTCCTGCAGTGAAGTTATGGCCACATACTTCAATGACTGAAAGGAGGATCTCAGGAGCAGAAGATCCCAGGGCCATCAAGGTCAGGTTAGACACAGTCTCATTCCAGATCCTCACAGTTGTCTTGGTGGTCTCTCCATTGGGTTTCTTTATGGTTATTTCTTTTTCTTGCGATGTGATGACTTCTATGGAGGACATGAACCTGTCAGCGATGATAGAGACGCCAAGAAACATGTAGACCATGGCCACAAAATACACAGTTGCTCTAGCAATTTTGTCCCCAAAAGAAGGGTCTTGGGGCTCCCAAATGGGCAAAATCACCCCTTTCTTACAGTAATATGAGCCAGTACATTCACCGGTTTCATTTCCTTCTTCCACCATTTCTGTCTCAGCAGTTATATGATCCACATGGGAAATTAGGAGAGCCATCATAGCTAGCAGATGAAACCCCAGTGAAACTGTGGGTGAGAGACTGAATCGCAGCATGTTGCTCAATGAGACTTCCAAATGTCTCGACCTACTGGTAAAAACAGGATGGGGCAGGGGATAGAAAAAGAAACCATATCATTAGAGCCAATCCAAAGCATGACTAATTGCTATTTTTTATCACTACTACCAAAAATTTGTGTGTGTCTGACCATCACAAAAACCTCTTGTGAATCATTGTTCTAAGAATTAATCAGCAATTAAGCAATCCTTTGTAAAATTTACAGTTCAGTGTCTCTGTAGATTTTCTACATGTAGTCCCGTTCACTGAGCAAGATATACAGTTGAATTTCTGGAAATTAAAAGTCCAATTATAATCTGGCCTTATTGAGTACAAATGTATACGTGCTAATAGCCAGCAAAAAAGAACAGGAAAACTTTTGAAGCATTAAATAATTTCTTCTTTGTTGCTAAAGGATTTTTTTTTTAATTCTGGTTACTAGATTATCTTCAGGAAACTGTTTCATTATCAATACCACTTTATTAGGTAGGATTCATGCTTTAAAATTCAGACTGAAAAGAAACCTACCAACACAAAGTGTGATGATTATCTTAAATTCTGGAGTATACATGACATGGTACCTCATGAAATCACATCCTACTGATCTAAATTTACTTAAAAACACAGAGAAATCTTTGAGGTTGCCTCCAAGTCAAAACGCAATACTGTCAGTTCTTGAGAAGAAAAGTATTCCGCTGTATGCAATATTTTCACACGTAGAGCAGATTTTAAAAGCACATTTTGGTGAGAGCACATTTCTTCCTAATTTTCAGTCCAGACCAGGTCCCCTGATGCATCAGAGTTGGGTAACTGGTTCTTCAAGCACAGCCCTTCAAATCTGTGCATGTAGCTCTCTTTAGAATTTGCAGGTTGTCTGCAACAGGAACAAGAGGTAACTAGCCCTGCGACTAGTTGTGTGTAATCAGCATTATGAGCCATAAAATGTTCCTTCTTGCTGGCAATGTCATATTTTCCATGGTCAGTCCAAAGCACATACTACTTCTGTAGTGGGCTCAATTGACCAAAATATGCAGGAGCAATGATTTCATCTAATTTAGCTCAAGTGGCATAAGAACAGTGACCACAGAGTACACATACGTGGAAGGGCAGTAGACAGTTAGGGATATGGCAACAGAGTCATAGAGCTGCACAAAGAATGGTAAAGCAAAGTAGTGGACAGAGCCACTGCAGCCCTAAATTCATGTATTGTCTCATGCAAAACTCAGCTCAGACCTCACATCTATTCTGCCTCCAGGGATGGTGGTACAGTGGTGAGGAAGGGCACGGACAGTAAAATAGGGGAAGGTCTGTAACCCTCATTTGGAAGGCTTCAAGGAGGGACCCAATGTGAAATCCTTATCTGGGGAGAGGAAAGGGGTCCTGAGTCAGAACATAGCCTCATGCCCTGGAAAGTGTTAACAGAAAAGTTGGGCTAGAGGTTGTCATAGTTCCCGGAGGGCTGACAGCCACCCACTTGCACCGATGTTCTCTGGCCTGCATCAGCTACTGATGGCTTATCGTAAAAACCGCATGATGTCCAGGAGAATTGGCCTGACAGACGCGTCCGGATGGACCTTTGGAGACCCTACCACAGCCTTGCCGTCTACCGCTAATGTGAGACACAATTCTTTGACATTTATCCTATAATAAAGGAGACAATAAGAGAATAGCAGTGGTAGAGATCTAATCTAAGTAAAAGGTCGACACATAGAAAAAACACATTTTCAAAGTATGTACAAGTTCACGGTCAGATTGCCTCTTATTATGGTCACTGCCGAGTCTGAGTGACTTTGGGGGTCTCTGCTTAAAACCAAGTATCATTCAACCAGCCTGCAAAAAGAGTGGAAGATCTAGTTTTAGCTCACTCATGCATCCATTTATGCCACCAGTATTTATGTGTGCCCAATATAAATTTCAGAATGATTTGCTAGACTCACTTTCAGACTCAAGGATTTACTAGTGAATAGAAGCAAATCTCTCTTCCCACTGAATGTACAGCCTAGTAAGGAGAGAATAACCAAAATAATTAAATACAGAGGTCAGACGGTAAACAGTGCAGTACTTATTCTGCACACATGGCATACATAATTTTACACTCGTGATTAAAGAAAGCCTCTCTGACAAGGTAACATTTGAACAGAGTTCTAAGGGAAACCAAAAATCAAGCCTTCTGATCACCTGCATGAAGAGAATTTCTAGCTAATACAAAGTTCTCAATGACAATATGCCTGGTAAAATCTAGAACCACAGAGAAAACAAAGTCCCAAGAAGGAAATTCAGAAGGAGGACAGAGCCAGCGGTGGGGCACAATGGCAATGGATTACAGGAGCACTGAGACTACAGCAGGGTACTGACTTTCCTATAGAGGGAGATAGGAAGCTAAGGGAGGTTCTGATCCGAGTGTGATGTTTGATTTTCCTTTCAGAAGGGACACTGCTACTCTGATGAAAAATACACCATAGGGGCAGAGACAGAAACAAGGGGACCAGCTCTTGCCTACTGTGATAAAATTGGATTCAAAAGTGATTCCAATGCCTGACAAGCATACAAAATGATGCAGAAGAAAGCTAACATTTAAAATAGCAGAACATTTGCAGGGATCTTTTTGGAGGATTTGCAATTTAAAATGTCTTAGGTACCCCTAAGGATCAGCAGAGTGAAATACATTTAATGAACAATTGTACTGAACAGAAATTGTAAACACTAGATTCAAGCCTGTGTCTGTCTCCAAGACTGATACAATTAACCATTCAATTCCAATTACTGCCAAACTCATCATTCCATTTTTCACATTTCAGACAAAGTGAAATTTCTAAACATCATATTTGACACTCCTACATCCCTTAAAATTCGTCCTTGGTTGCCTACTATGTATTGCTCCGTCATCAGAGCTCAAACTCCTCAACACTGTGTTCTAACCTTCTATCATCTGACCTCTGAACTACACTATACAGAAATTCTTTCAATTCCCTTAATAAGACAACACTTCCTCGTGCCTAGCTTTTGCATATAGTGTTTTCTGTGTGCAAAAACTATTTTTGTCTTTCACTCTTAGAATCAAGTTTCCAAGCCCAACAACAAATCATAATCAATTTCCTGAGAAAAGAATATTATATTGCATTCCTTAACAGTGCTCGCAGTTTCGTGCGGAATTCTTCACATGTATCAGTTACCTCTGATTATTTACAATAACCAGTCTTTCTGTGTTACAAAATTCCTAGTGTTGCCATTTCATTCTAGTCTTTGATAACAGCACCGGTTGGAGCTGTGCAGTAAACAGGATCCAACAATAAAACTATACATCGGTACTCTTAGCCCATTCTTAAGGTGGGATCATCAAGGCTTAGATAGGTTAAAGATCTGCTGAAAGACATACAGATAAAAGACTCCTGATTTATGATTCAAAAGCCTGGTCTATTTCTAAGACTGATATAATTAACTATTCCGTTGTATCATCCCTGATACTGGGCAAAATAATCTTTGACAGCTCTTGGACTTTGGCTTGAACCAGCCCTTAAGTGCTGGGTTAGGAGGGCCTAGTTAACAACAGTGTCTTGGAAGGTTTCCAACAGGTTGGCTTTTATCTATCTTGTGGATTAGAGACTCAAGTATCAGTGACTGGTGTAGCATGAGAGCTAACATGTGCCTAGAGACAGCTGCCCTACAACTCCTTGGCCTTTAGCGATTGCCTGGCAACCTTTTACTGTGTGCACTGTTACAGAAATCTCTTAGGTCAGCCAAGAAAATGCCCTGCCCTCTCTCCCTGCTGTAGCACACAGGTCACCATGTTTTAAGTCAACACACTGACTGGATTGATCAGTAAAAACCCAACATCATTCTCAGAGAAAGAAAAGAGAGGGGCTCCTAAGGTTACCTAAAATTAGCATAATTATATTCAAAAACTGACAGCATTATAATTTGTGAAATCGGTGGACACAAAACTCTGATGTAACTGATTGGCAATGAAACAACTGGAAAGAACTCTCCGGAATTCATTTTCTTCCTTTATCAAAATGAATACAAAATTCAAAGGCTGGTGAGAATATGGGATATGTGCCTTCTAATGTGAGTTCTTGTTTTTCTCCTTTTATCTCATTTCTTTCAGGGTCTTTCTTCCATCATTAAATTCAAGAAATTCTATTTAACCTTCCCCCAATACCCTTCAGACATGAATTTACATGAAAACTAAGCAGGAAGATAAGGACAGAGGACTTAGACATGTTGGTTTGTGGCCTGGCCTTATATGTTTCCTTGATTTCCTGAATGCTGGAACAAGGAACAGGTTGATCTTTATGACGGATTCAGATCAACTCATATCTACAGACAGTGATCACTTAGAAAGAGCCACTTAGGAATATCCACTTTGTCCAAATGAGTCTTCATTCCCCAGTAAGTACCAAGTACTCAGTAGTATTACTATTTATTTCAGAACAAAACAGTGTTGGTTACAGATTCAAAACCTGGCTGGCACTGACAAATGATGGTAAAAAGATATCCAGCTGCCAGTAATCTAGCTACTAAAAACTGCTGAGGGCGGAGGATGAGGATACAAGGAGTACTACTCTGCCATAAAAAAGGATATATTTGAGTCATGTGTAGGAAAATGGATGCATTTTGAGACCATAATGTTAAATGAAATAAATCAAACAAACTTAACTATCACATGGTTTCTCTTACATAAGAATCCCGATGTATAAATAAATCTAGAGCAAAACAGCAGATCACTAAGGAGAAAACAGGGAGATAGGTCTTTTCCAAGTGGGAAGGGGACCCAAGTGGAGGGGGGAGGAAGGGAAAGGAATGTAAAAGAATGAAAATGTGTCATGTACGTGGGCCAATTACCCACAAAGAACATAATCATTATATGTTGTAAAAATGTACTAATAAAAATTTTAAAAGAAAAGAAACATACCTGCAAGACATGTTTGTAAAGGATGAGGAAGGGCCTTCTCATCAAACAGGCATGAAGAGTAGGGAGGCAGCAAACTGCCTATTCCCTGCTGGAAGCTGGAGCCAGTGTCCTCTCTCAAGGA